ACCATGCGCGCTTTCTCGATGGTAGCAGGACTACGCTTGCGACAACGATACTTCCTTTTTTCACGTTTTACCTAAATACTCAAAATAAGCCTGTGAACAACTCATAAGAGGCGCAGTGACTTACTGACCATTTGGTTCGCATCGTATTGCCCTTGTTGACAAAGGTACGGTAGCGGATATGCGGGGGATTCCATGGGCGTGTTAGTGGCGCTTGTCTGAAATGTCATGCTCAACTTCGGAAATTTCATTGCAACGTTGTTAATAGCGGAGCCCAGTTACAGGCGAAAATAAGCGATAAACAAAAATACTTTCAGCATTTGGCTTCTCAGGTCCAAATAAATCAATAATCAGATGGCAATTGCACAAGGTAAGGTAAAAAAATCACCTGTCCATCAGAGTCCGCATAGGAATAGTGAAAGGAGGTCGGATAAGGCTGTTGCATGATGGAATGGCGATCAGACTGTCAGCACTTGACGTCGCGACCCAAGGAACCCTGCCGTGCCAAGGAGGCGGGGCCAGGTGTCAGCGGGGCGGCGCTTGATTGGATTAAGCGCATTACCGTAATCAAGACATAGATGAGGGCCAACAAATGTTACAGGAGACGGTTGCGTCATCGGTTCCCGAGGTCAAATGACTTAGAATTCTGATATTATAATGCGACTGATGTTGGATGGGGAAACGGGCGAACGACGTCCCTGGTGGTAGCGTTTAACTGATCGTGGTTGAGAGGTGGCAAGAAAACCATCGAAGCGAAGAAATGTATTCCAGTCCCATGTTAGCGAGTTTACATGTAGTCCAGATTTTGAGTCCTCTCGTCGTAGAACGACTGGTTTCGAGGATATTACATAAAGGTAGACAAAACCATACAGATTGTTCATGTACCCTTTTTTAGTCCGGGCCTACATTTAGAGAATTTCATCAATTTCCAAAATTGCTGAGCTACTAAGGTTCATACTGGCTAGCAGTAAAGACGAATAAAGGGCAAAAATGGCCAGGTTCTTCATAATAAGCACTCAGCGAATATGTACCAATCATCTATACATCGCCAACACATATCAAAAAAATTCGTAGTATTTTGTAAATTCAATTTCGATCATGAAGTACACTCCTTATCCCTGAGCCAGAGTAGGCGTGGCATTTGAACATGGCACGGAACTGGTTACTCGTGGAATATTCCAGTCTGGGACAACTGTCATCTTGTTCTGTGTTGGACAGAGACACGACAACAATTGTGTCAAGATGAAAATATCTCACCAGAAGCATAGACACCTTCAGGAAGTTGAAACATGCGGCCACGTCCTACCCGATCTCAGGATTTCGAGTATACATCACCCTTGTGCGACACGCATCAGAGGCGGAGGGAGTCGCACTTAGGTCGTTGCGAATAGGCGGGTCGTGAATGATCTTGACAGAAGTTTTTCTAATTCTTCTCTTTCACCATTTCATGGGCGCTGCATAATCCAGTCCTTTACCTCCCTGATTGGCAGCGGTGCATAAACAGCAACTTCTCAGTTTCTGAAATTCTAGCAGTTGGTCGTAGGTGGTTATTCCCCTCACCCCCCACTGGACAAGAAACTTCATATTGGGAGAATTTTGCCTCCCACTCCCTTTCTCGCTCGACAAAAAGGCTATTTGTCTGGAAAATTTGGTGAAAGCCCATGTACCGAAACAGGAACTACCGAAACAGGACATTCGGGGGCGGGAGGTGCTGTCATCGCCATTTTACCCATCTCCATAGTACCCTGTTGGATCATGCATTCATACACTTCAGAGATTTTGCTTTCATAAATACCCATTCCCACTAAAATGAGAATCTGCGAAATCCTAAAGTTATAAAGGCTCCATAATTAGTACTTTCTTTCCCAGCTTTCATGTGCACCAGCTGAGGGATTCTTACAGTCATTCAAGGACAACCTACTTTATTCCTTGTAAGAAGGCCCCCACCAGCTTACTCATCACTAATCACTAATTTTCTCACGAGAAAAGTTTCCCGAGCTTGGTAACATAGTCCTCATGAATGAATAATGATGATACAGTACTGCCGTACAGTAAGTACAAATGTCGGGCTTTTCATTCAGTACTTTTCTCCATTAGAGTGCCTTTTACAGGTCTTCAATCTGCAGGCTTCAATCCCGTTCTTGGTAAACCAATTAACCGAAGCAGATGACCCGAGTACTCAAAAAATTCAAAATGGCGCTAACAACCTTGGTGGGGCATACAAACGAATGCGGGCGCAAAGCTGAGATCACAGCCATATTTGCTGTGAATAAGGCCACCCACCGACTTCCTTCCATGTTTAGGCCTATGTAAAGATCCTCGTCAACATAACGGTAATCATAGTTTTGCATAGGCGGTCCTTTGAATGTCCCCTCTAAAGACATTAGTTTCTAAAAAATCGTAGACGACCTCAACATAATACAGGCCAAGTACGACAGTCTGCCAGTGTAACTAATTATGAGGACACGTCTGGAACCACAGTGATTGGTGCCAGAAAGTGGTAAGTAATGAGTACCAGCTGTCACTTGTTCTTAGGAGTTGGGTGTTGAGCTGCACCGTAAATTATTCATCAGAAGTTACAGGAAACAGAAAAATCTGTGGTTGAAATTCGGGTCCATAAGTCTCAACTAAGACTCTCCACTGCTTTTTGCTCTTCATTATCGCGCCGATCTTAATGTGCTGAACTACTGAGACTTCAAAAGATCCAATCCTGAATGCTGGAATTCTTCCTGATTTTTTTTTTGAATTTCAGGGCTTTCCGAAAATACGATTTTTGCTGTACACTTGCTTTTTAACACAGTTTCTTTCCAATTTATGGGTGACTTCCGAATGTAAAAACGAAAGCGCGTCATTTCTGATTGCGGGGTTGGCCTCACTTTGAAAATCGGAATTCGAAACAGGGATCTCTGAAACACTGAATGCTCTGCAAAACGGGTCGGGATTTTGTTGCTGTTTTTCGTTTTTTTCTGTTTTTCAAGCTGGCAGCCAAACTGCAGTGCACTAGACGAATATTGAAGTAACGCCACCTTAGTTGGGGGTAATGAGGGCTCTTTTCCATCAAGACCGACAACCGACAACTTTTGTGTAGACCTGGGAACTCCTGTAGAGCTGAGTTATAACACAAGCTCCGTTTGCATGTACTTGACAGAGTGTAGAGGCTCACCAAGGTGAGAAGTGTAGCTTCACAGGAACTAACAAGGGGAAGCTAGAGAAGAGAAGAGGGAACGCTTTTGCTTCCCCACCCCGAGCCGAGTAGCACGCTAGGAAAAAATTTGAATGAATATGGGCGCTGTTCGGCTTGGGAGAGGCATTTTGCGCTTTAGCTCATTTTGCTAGTTCCTGTCAAATTACACTTGACACTTTGAAAGTCTTCTATTTTTGCAACTATTGTACCGGCCCGGGCCGCCCCAGGTCGCCCTGGGGAAATAGTGGATGAAGCTCGTGCTATTGCACAGCTTTACAAGAATCACCTGGTCTCCACAGGAGGCTTGGGCAGTGATTGATGGAAACCAACAAAATGCCCCCACCAAGCGACTGCGCATGAATTCGATAGGTCAGATTTCAAGCTATCCAACTTTACCCGCTAGAGGACACCAGCAGTCCTGATAAGAAACGGAAGGGATGGACCAGTTCCATGAGTTTAATCTGCTGCTGATCTCTCGGATCCCATCTGGCGTCTCATTCGAGACCTCCATAAACGGTCTCCACGCACTTTGATTTACATGACCCATTCTCGCGCCCCATTGAGCACATCGTCGTCGTCATCGAATTGTTCGCTGGTTATTCGAATGGAAGCGGAAGATGGGATCGAACAAGTTTCCTGATCGCTTTCACTTCACTCCGAAATCCTGGATCGCTTGCGGTTACTCCATATGTCGATGCTCTATAATGCAAGTCTCTAGTGAGCAGCAGTTAATTCGCACTAATCTCTCTGACCACAGTACACCTGCTCGGCGATGGCACTGTAACTCGACGCGCTACGGTCAATCGTCTCTTATGTAACACATTTGTTCCGTTGGGCAACCATGCACCACCATTTAGCTCAGATTGAAGGCAATTCTGAGCATTACCTAA